ATTCCGGCTACTCGGAAGGCTGAGGCGGAAGGATTGCCGGAGCCCAGCAGGTCGAGGCTGCGGTGGCCGGGAGCGGCCACTGCACTCCAGTCTGGGCGACAGAGTGAGACTCCAACTCAAAAAAAAAAAAAAAAAAAAAAGAAGTTTCCAGATAATTAAATCATTCCTTGAAGTGTTTTGAATATGACTTACGAGATTTAGAAACATTTGTGTGACCGTGACCTCCACAAGGAGCCGTTGGGCTGCTCCAGGGGCTGAGGGACTTTGTCAGAGGGGGTGTAGTGTGCAGAGCTCTCCCCTGGTGAAGACCCTGAGCTTATTCAGCCTTCCCCTGAAAGCGGGCTGAGATGAGCCATGGGTGGCTGATCACAGGGGTGGGCTCTCCACATGGTGGGAGCAGGAGAGGGAGAGAGCATTGGGAACTCCACAGACCAAGGCACCACCAGCGAAGGAGATCTGGTTAGAAAAGGTCAGAACACTGCAGCAGTGCTGGAGTGAAGTCCACTGATCGGACAGCCATAACACTTCCCTTCTTGTACCATAGAAAACAGAGTAGAGGGTAACTGCCCTGCCAGCAGAGAGCACAAAGAGGCTCTTTACTGCCATCTTTCAGAAAATCATGATCATAAATCTCAAAACCTATGATGTTTACAATATAATGGTACTCCCTTAGATGTGATATATCTGTGCAGTCCACAACCTATACAACCATACTTAGTGGCCTTGGATCTACAGGCGCCAAAAGGAAAAAGAAAAAGCAACATTTTCTCCCTTAAAGCAATTCCAAAGTAATATAATATATTGTGGTAAATATAATGAGATGCATTTTTTAATCTTCTGTGGCCTTACTATGGTCAATCTTCCACTGTTTACCCATGCTGTCTAGGTATAGAGTGGGTGGGAAAGAATAAGGGGTCCCAAATGGTATGTTCCCCACAGCCGTTTGGATAGGGAACATACACTAAAAACAGCACATCTTTCAGATCTGGGATACAAAGAGAAGACCACGGAGCCACACTGCAGCCAGTTAACCCAAAGCCCCCTGACTGTGTGCGCCAGGCAGCGTGAGGACAGACCGTGAGGATGTGAAGTGCCCCAGGCTGCGTGAGGAGGAGCCTTGAGGGGAGTCCTGGCTTGACTAAAATCGAAAGACATATTCCATGTGACTTTGCCAGAGTGATTTTTGTGTCGCTTTAACATTTCATGCTCTACCAGAAATCTCTCAGTCTAGGTTTAAATACACTAATAGTAGTTGTCAAACACACTATATCAAGATATAGCAACAAAGTCCTTGTATATATTATAAAGTGCCCCAGAAACTGATGTGTGGCTGAAATCAATACTAAGTGGCTTTCTTATCTTGTTTATAGTTTCAATTTTTTTTTTCTTAAATACAAAGCATCACCTTCACAGATTTTTTCCGGAAGATTCTGAGAAAAACATAAAAAGAAGTTAACTGCGGTCCACTCCCAACCACTTTTTTATCGTACCATCTCTAGCGTCTGTCCTCTGATCCTGGCACTCATGACTTCAGGAAAACATCATTCTAACAGAAAGCCTGGGACGCCGGAGGCACACTTACTGCTCCCTGGACAGAAGACGGGCCGGTTCCTTCGTTCTCTTCTCTGTCTGCCTCCTGGTCTTCGTTGTCGGTCCAAGAGGACACGTCCTCCACCGAGCTGGTCAGATCAGGCAAGCTCTTAGATGTTAGCTTGAGGAGGTCCTCTGCAGAGTTTTCCTAGGGGGACACAATTAAAGGACCATCCGTGAACTATCCTCAGCACCAAGCAGTTCTTGAGGCCAACCTGGCAGAGTTTGGTCATGCGCTCCCGACCCAAAGTCTATGCGGAACATACACCGTGCATTTGCAAGGTTACCTCAAATGTCAGAGGTGCGAACCCAGTTTAAACACAAACCAACTTAGTTTTTCCCCTGGTGAATGTGTGTTTCTTAGGTCGCTATTTCTATGGCAATCCAAGTTTCCTGAACTCAAGATCCTTCCCAGGTCTCCCCCGACTTGCTTTCAGGAGATAGTCTAATCCCCTTATCTATTGGCAGGTGAGCAGCTTAGAGACTTGGCCTCTAGGCTGGGCATGGTGGCTTGCGCTTATAATTCTGCTCACTTTGGAAGACTGAGGCAGGAGGATCGCCTGAGTACAGGAGTTCAAGACCAGCCTAGGCAACATAGTAAGACCTCATCTCTACTAAAAAAACAAAAAAAAAAGCTTCAAAAAAGTAGCAAGGTGTGGTAGTCTCAGCTACTCAGGGGCCTGAGGTGGGAGGATCACTTGAGTACAGGAGGTTAAGGCTGCAGTGAGATGGGATTGCACCACTGAGCTCTAACCTGGTGACTGAGAGAAACCCCAACACAGAAAAAAAGAAAGTTGGCTTCTGCACAGTTCTTCAAACCCATCCTCCTTGATTCTTCCCCATAAACCACACCTTCTGTTCAAGTCACACTGCCCTTCAAACACTCTTGCCAACCCTCTGAGGTAGGGTAGACATGAATACGTTTCCCATAGGCAGGTTTTACAAAGTATTTTTTTAAAATTACATTTTACTGCAGGCCAAGCTGACAGCTTACTGCACCCCCTCCTCCAGCCAATCAAAAGAAAACCCCATCAGATGTAAGAATAGGACAGCCCAACCTTTTAGCTAATAACCCTAAAAATCCTTCAGGCTCCTGATTGAAGATAAAAGGTTCAACCCCACCTCTTAACTGATCAAAACCACAGAAGTGGCTGCATGCGGTGGCTCACACCTATAATCCCAGCATTTTGGGAGGCCAAGATGAAAGGATTGCCTGAACCCACAGGTTTGAGACCAACCTAGCCAACTTGGCGAGACCTCATCTCTATAATAAATCAAAAAATAAGCCAGGCATGGTGACGCACATCTGTAGTTCTGGCTACTTGGAAGGCTGAGGTGGAAGGATCACCTGAGCCCAGCAGATCAAGGCAGCAGTGGCCATGAGTGTGCCACTGCCCTCTAGCCTGGGAGACAGAGTGAGACTCCAACTCAAAACAAAACAAAACAAACCAAACCAAAACAAAACAAAACAACCCAGAAGTGATCATAAGATCACCCCTCTTCCTGTCAGAGGGGAGGAGGCAGCACTTACCTGTGCTCCACCCTCATTAGCATATCAATAACCAGGTAGCTCTATCTAGCTTGTAGTTGAAAGAGGAAAGCATGGTTTTTCTTTTCTGAGAAACTAGTCCATGACAAGTCTTTCTGCCATGAATCTTCCTTTTTCCTTCTCTTCTTCTCACTAATAAACTCCGTTTTAAAACTTTGCTGGCCACTCTAAAATTCACCTCAGGCTTAAGCCAAAGAATCCACGAGATTGGAGCCTCACCAAGGCTGGCATCACCCATGCCCCTCCGCCAGCAGCTCCCTCTGTTGAGACCACCTTTCCTGTCGTAACTGAGGCTTATTTGGGCAGAGCTTAAGCACCCTCTCCTGAGGGCCCTCCTGAACCCTTCAGGAGCCATTCCATTTGCCTGTCCTTTCTTTTCTAAGCTCCTTGACTCCTGCTTTTCTCTCTCTGCCACAGACATCCAACTTGACGTGTGTGTTTCCCCTGCTAGTCTGAGAGTTCCTCCAGCCAAATATCATTTCTACTCACTGGCTGTGTCCCCTGACCCAGCCTAGAGCCCAGATAGCCACGATATTCTCCTCCCCAGTCCATCCCTAGCACAAGCTCACGGATGGTTTATTGGATCAAAGTGGAAATTTCAAGACTGATCATGTCTTCTCAGTGAAAGTGGCCCTTGGACAACTTTCAAAGGTCAACAAAAATACATGGAATTCGACTCCATTTAGACTAGCGTCTAAAGGAGGCGTCATCAGTACAGTCCTTTGTTCCTATGTACAGATAAAGCCAGTGTATGCATGAGGGCCTCATTGCAAAGAAGGAGCGAGCAATGTCCTGGGAAATGTCACAGCATGGGAGGCCAGGGCCAGGGAGGGGACAGGGCTATGGGAACAGGGCTATGGGAACAGGGCCAGCAAAAGGAGGAATCAATTCCCTTCTCATTCCCTCACATCAGCCATTTCACCACGAAAGGAAACACATGGAAAGTTTTCATCATTAAATTGCTTGAGGGTTGACAGAAAAGAGGACCCTCAATTATTATTATTGTTATTATCATAATAATAATAATCATCATCATAATAATAACAATAATAATAATAACCCATCTTAAACTACAGAATATTTGCTACTAATATAAATGAGTTGGCACCCAATGAGAGTGACATTTGTTGGTAGTTTAATGGTTTCACCTTCAAGGTAACTGAAGATAACTCGTTTTAGATCGGTAATGGTGAATACTATACTGATAGATCTTACCTAAGGAACAGCAAAAGAACGGTTAAACAAAAAGTAAGTTCAGCCGGGCTCTCAGCCTGTAATCCCGCGCCTTTGGGAGGCTGAGGTGAGTGGATCACCTGAGCCCGTGGGTTCGAGACCCGCCTGGGCAGCGAGACCTCATCTCTACAATAAATCAAAAATCAGCCAGGCGTGGTAGCGCATGCCTGTAATTCCACCTACTGGGAAGGCTGAGGCAGAAGGATCGCCAGAGCCCAGCAGGTGGAGGCTGCGGTGGCCGGGAGCGGCCACTGCACTCCAGTCTGGGTGACTGAGTGAGACTCCAACTCAAAAAAAAAAAGTAAGTTCAAGGCCCAGCATGGTGGCTGATGCCTGTAATCCTAGCACTTTGGGAAGCTGAGGTGGGAGGATTGCTAGAGTCCAAAAGTTCGAGACCAGCCTGGGCAACATAGTGAGACCTCGTCTCTACAAAAAATTTAAAAATTAGCTGGGCATAGTGGCACACATCTGTAGTCCCAGCTACTAGGGAGACTGAGGAGGAAGGACCGCCTGACCCAAGAAGTCAAAGATGTCGCACTGCACTCCAGCACGGGCAACAGAGTGACACCCTGATTCAAAAAAAAGAAAAAAAGTGAGCTCAGTCCTTTTTTGTCATGCCAACTCGATTAGACTATTAGCAGAGAAGGGTGTGCCACTGTACTCCAGCCTGGGTGACAGAGTGAGATTCTGACAAGAAAAGAAACAAAGGAAAGAAAGAAAGAAGGAAGGAGGGAGGAAGGAAGGAAGGAAGAAAGAAGAAAAGAAAGACCCAACTGGTGAGTAAATTGCCCAGCAGCTATAGAATAGACCACTCCATGGTCATTAAAAATGGTGCTGTACAAATGAATCTCCTGATGTGGAAAGATTCTTCCAGTACGCTACTGAGTGATAAAGCAGGTTAGGAGAATCTGTGGTACTCATGATACCAATAATGTGTGTAATAATAAGCTAGATGTAATACTATGCAATAACTATAAAGGCCTGGTGTTCACTATGACCAGCTATACTGCTCAGGCCCTTTGTATCTCATTTACTCTTCCTGACATCCTCAAAGAGGTAGTTACTCATTCTCACTGTACAGAGGAGAAAACTGAGATTTAGGGAGATGTAACAACTCACCCAGGATACACAGCTTTTATAGGCACTCAGTCCAGCAGGCATAAGTGGGACTGCTTCTGGGTACACTTTATCTCCTTGTGCTTGATTCCATTTAAAAGAAAACATGCATGCATACTGCACACACATGTTCCCAGCTGGAAGGACACCAGTTAATAAATAGTATTATCGGGAGTATTATGAACATCTCATCCTCTTTTTCTTCTCTATATTTTTTCTGGTTGTCTACATTGGATATAATAAGTATAATGATATGTATATATATTACTTGCTTTTTTGTTGTGTTTTTTGAGTCAGAGTCTCACTCTGTCACCAGGCTGGAGTGCTATTATATAAGCAAACAACATTTTTGTGTGGAAACATGAGACATCCTCTCCACAAGAAAGCAATGGAGCTGGGCGCAGTGGCTCACGCCTATAATCCCAGCATTTTGGAGGCCAAGGTGAGAGGACTGCCTGAGCCTGCTGGTTCGAGACCAGCCTGGGAAACTTGGGCAGAGCTCATCTCTACAGTAAATAAATAAACAAACAAACAAACAAACAATTTAGCCGGGCATGGTGGCACATGCCTGTAGTTCCAGCTACTTGGAAGGCTGAGGTGGAAGGATTACCTGAGCCCCCAGCAGGTCGAGGCTGTGGTGGCCGAGAGCGTGCCACTGCCCTCTAGCCTGGGTGACAGAGTGAGACTCCAACTCAAAAAAAAAAAAGAAAGCAATGGTTATATTTCCAAAACAATGCCTTAAAGTTTTGTGATAAGGTGACTATCACCTAAAATAACACTCATATTGGTCTTTATATCCAGTATGTCAAAGCTCTCCCTTCCCCTTCCAATATGATGTCAGCAACCAAGTCTGTGGATTCCCTGCTTTTGTTAGATAAAGAAGAGGAACAGGTGTTAAGAGGTGCTTCTTTTTTCTCCTATGTTGACAAGCACCTTGGATGATATAGATGAAGTTTAGGAACAAAAGCACATGTAGGAGTTTACTGCCTAATTGTAAAAAGAGCACATAGAAAGAAATCAAATGTGTGACTCCTCTGAGGTCTGGGTCAGCTTTGGGACCAAAGTCAGGATGGATGCCCAAGAGACAGTGGATTAAGAATGCGAACGGACACCCATTCTGTGGCTCCAGAATGCTATTCAGCCTTACAAGGACCCCAGCAAGTGTCCCTCCAAGTCAAAGCCTCTAGCAGAAACACATTATATTTTTCTAATACCAATGGCTCTAGTGTCCTTTATTTTTATTTGCTTGAAGTGCAGCTCGGTGTGTGAGCAGCAGCATGGGCTTTGAAGTCCAGTAAGCTTGGGAGTCTGGTGGAATCAACCTGCTTCTGATGTCTCCTGCTATGTGACCTCTGGGCAAGGTAATTAACCACTCAGATTTTAATTCTTTCCTTTGAATAATAAGAACTAATACCCATCTCAGGGCAGGAAAAGTATGTATGTATGTATATATGTATGTATGTATGTATGTATGTATGTATGTATGTATGTATGCATCTACCTAGCTATGTATCTTATTGAGTTGGCATCTCACTCTGTCGCCCAGGCTGCATTGCAGAGGCACAATCAGGGCTCACAATTGCCTTGACCTCCAGGCTCAGGCAACCTTTCTGCCTCAGCTTCCCAAATATTTGCATGCCACCACACTTAGCTGACTTTTTTCATTTTTTTGAGGTCTGGTCATTTTTCCAGGCGGGTCTTGAACTCCTGGCCTCAAACAATCCTCCTTCCTTGGCCTCCCAAAGTGCTGGGATTATAGGCATGAGCCACCACTCACGGCCAGGGGTTTATATTTGCAAAAATTAAATGAGATAATAGGTAAAAAGCACCTGGCACCCAGTGGGCATCTAATACATATTGCGTCCTTTCTTCCTTTCAGTTGGTATGTGAGATCAGAGAGCAGGCATCATCCAGGGACTAGATTCCAAAGTCCTGTGTATGTCCCTTAATTATTAGCTTTATTATAGCTTTACCCATGAGTGGCCCTTTTTGGTTTTTATCTTGTGTTTTCTTTGTGTTTGTGCATTTATTTGTGGATAACGGCTTGAGACAGTGGGGCAGAGCTTCCATGGCCAGCTTCTGTGGCCATCTACCGTCTTGCAGAGGCCACAATGCCATTCAGAGGACTAGGGTCTGGGTCCTAAAGTTCAGCCCATGCCCCCTTTCATATTTTTCAAACTGGCAGGAGAAAGAAGTCAGCACAGAGATGAAGGTTTTGTGGCACGTGGTGTGACACCGGTGCAGAAACTCAAGTTCATTGGCACAGATTGTGGAGAGGTAGCTGTGCAAACCAAGTGGGCATTCTCTGCAAACGTGTACCTCTGTGTCTGTGTTTAAGACCCGATGACGCTTCCAAACTCCTAATACATCTGGCACAATTTGAAACTTGTTTCTCCTCTTCTTGAAGCATTTCCTTCCATGTGGAATTCACGAGGCTGACAAAAGACATCCCGGGATCTGCTCTCCTTCCCCATCCTAAGTGAGGGGATACAGACAGCCTAAGGCAGATGTTCTGGATGAAGACATGTATGGAGCTCCGTGGACTGAGGAGAAGTCCCCAGGATGTCCCTCGGTATCTCAGGGAGGGCAGGAAAGGATCTAGGAATGGAGAATGGTCCCAACGCCTGCCTCCAGGGACACAGGCGCCTACTCTTTCTGCCAAATCTTCCCCAGAGCTCTGCATATTCTTCCTGGAGGTCTGAGAGTTTAGGTCAAGCGTTGAGGGTGAAAGATGGAGAGAGAGGAAAGCAGACTTTTCAGATAGCTCAAAATGTTCTTCTATTTATTTGTTCAATAGTCCAAAGAATTGGCAAAAGATTTCGCAATCGGAGAGGGAAAGTACACAAACCTATGGGCGCCAGGCTCGAAAATAACAACAGGGATAATGAAAAGGAATTACCCAGACTGGCAAGGGTGTCCTGCTGCCAAGGGCTAAGACTGGTGAGGGCTCTAACCCCTGATCCTTCGTGGCCAGAAGTGGAGCGAACCCTTCGTGGCTCCATTTCCTAGCTCCTCAGTCACACGGACATGTTCTGACGCTCATCAATAGTACATCAGACAACAGATCAGACCCCAGGGAGGTCAACGCCTCCTTTTTCTCACCACAGCTGGGGAGTCCTGCAGCCTTTAACTGGCGCTTTAAGAAAGATACCGGGACCCAGAAAGGGCGTGATATTGACACACTCTGGGGGTGGGGGTGAAAGCAGCCCTACCCTGGGGCCTCAGGGCCTTGTGAAAGGAGAACCATGAAGAAGAGGCAACAGCAAGACAGGGTACAGACACTGGGCTGGGCACTAGGGCCTGGGATCTGGCACTGCAGATGGCATCATGGCCTCTGCAAGATGATAACTGGCCATAGAGACTCTGGCTCACTGTCTCATTTGTGTGGGGAGGAAGAAAAAGAAAGTGGTGGCTGGGCAAACAGGATTCACAAGGCTTCCTCCAGCTCCAACACTATGAGGCCATGAGTGAGAACAGGCCGGCGTCCTGCCATGGTGGCCCCTGAGTCTTTCTCCCCTCCCAGCTCTCCTGGCTTCACATTTCCTCCTGGGAGAGTTACTGTTCTCTCCACACTGTCCTACCTTCAGCCTCCCGTCCTTACCTTTGTTTTCATTCTATTATGCCTTTCTATCCCCTAACGTATGCCTACAAAGACTCTTAAAAGAAAGAAAAATAGGCTGGGTGTGGTGGCTCACACCTGTAATTGAGAGGCTGAGGAGGGAGGATCACTTGAGCCTAGGAGTTCAAGACCAGCCTGAGCAACACTGTGAGACCTCGTGTGTACAAAAACAGAAGTAAAAAAATTAGCCAGGCATGGTGGTGTGCACCTGTAGTCCCAGCTCCTTGGGAGGCTGAGGCAGGAGAATCACCTGAGCCTTGGGGGTTGAGGCTGAGGTGAGCTGTGATTGCGTCACTGCACTCAAGCCTAGGAGACAGAGTAAGACCCCAACTCAAAAAAAAAAAAAGGTAAAAAGAAAAAGAAAGCAAAATAATTAACTGCACTTCAGCTATGGGCTCCTGTGTGGGCTTGCCCTGTAGAATCAAGGCTGCTTAAATGGCCCAAGGTAAATGTGCAAGGGCACTTGTGTGCCTGGGTGTGGCACGGGGGTGAGGCTCAACCCAAATTCACCACCACCATCATGAATATTAAAAAACAAACACTACCTACCTTGCTGGCTACCACCAGCTGCACCATGCCGGTGGCTGAGCGAAGAATGGCCACAGCTTCCTCATGGGAGAGCCCGACCAGTAAGTGACCATTGATCACCAGCAGCTCATCTCCCAAGGACAGTCTGCCATCCCTGAGGAAACGGAGATGGGAAAAAACCCCTTGTCAAGACATCCTGGGCCTGAGGAGGGACATTTTCCTGGAGCTAGGGAGGGTCGTGAGAGGGAACAGTTAGAACCAGGGTAAGGAGGAAGCGGTGTCAACCAGAGACAGACTGAGATGGGACTGCTTTATCCTTTTATGTCCAGATTCCCACAAGAGGGGTGAAAGGCTCCTTGATTTCGGGTGGTGGCTTAACGATAAGCACGCTCAGCCAGGCGCAGTGGCTCACTCCTTTAATTCCAGCACTTTGGGAAGCCGAGGTGAGAGGACTTCCTGAACCCATGGGTTCGAGACCAGCCTAGGCAACTTGGTGAGACCTCATCTCTACAATAAATAAAAAAATTAGCCAGGCATGGTGACAGCTGCCTGTAGTTCCAGCTACTTGGAAGGCTGAGGTGGAAGGATCACCTGAGCCCAGCAGGTCGAGGCTGTGCTGGTTGTGAGCATGCCACTGCACTCCAGCCTGGGCCATAGTGTGAGACTCCAACTCAAAAAAATCAAACAATGCCGGGCCCGGTGGCTCAGCCTGTAATCCCGTGCCTTTGGGAGGCTGAGGTGAGTGAATTTCCTGAGCCCGCGGGTTCAAGACCCGCCTGGGCGTGAGACCTCATCTCTACAATAAATAAAAAATATCAGCCGGGCGTGGTAGCGCGCGCCTGTAGTTCCAGCTAGTTGGAAGGCTGAGGCGGAAGGATCGCCGGAGCCCAGCAGGTTGAGGCTGCGGTGGCCGGGAGCGGCCACTGCACTCCAGTCTGGGCGACAGAGTGAGACTCCAACTCAAAAAAATAAATAAAATAAAACAACAACAACAACAACAACAACATCAAAACGATAAGCACACGCTCTCTTTTTTTTGAATTGGGCATCTTGCTCTGTCACTCAGGCTGAAGTGCAGTGGCACAGATCAGGATTCACTGCAGCCTTGACCTCTTGGGGTCCAGGTGATCCTTGTATCTCAGTCTCCTGAATTCCTGGGACTACATGCACATGTCATCACACCCAGTCTATTAAAAAAAAATTTTTTTTTTTTTTTGGAGAGATAAGGTCTCACTATGTTGCCTGGGTTAGTCTCAAACTCCTGGATTCAAGTGATCCTCCCACCTCAGCCTCCCAAAGTGCTGGGATTATAGGTGTGAGCCACCATGCCTGGCCAGCATATTCCTAAGTCAATGAAATGCCATTCAAGTGAAGATGGTGATAAAGGAACCAAGACCCCAAGGTTTTAAGAGAGTCAAAGTCATTCTTTTCTTAATCCTGCGACCCTGTCCATCAGCTGAGCCACTGACCTAAGCTCAAAGAGAGCAAATGTGTCCTAGGCCCATGTGCAATCCTTTCCTAATCTGTTGTCCTCCTCTTTTTCCAGGTGACATGACTCTGACCAGAGTCCTCTGGTGTACCTGTGCTTCATACTACACTGCATCTCTCTCTCTCTTTTTTTTTTTTTTGAGTTGGAATCTCACTCTGTCATCCAGACTGGAGTGCAGTGGCCGGGCTCTGGTGATCCTTCCGCCTCAGCCTTCCAAGTAGCTGGAACTATAGGCGTGCGCTACCACGCTCGCCTAATTTTTGATTTATTGTAGAGATGAGGTCTCGCCAAGTTTCCCAGGCGGGTCTCGAACCCGCGGGCTCAGGCAATCCACTCACCCCAGCCTCCCAAAGGCGCGGGATTACAGGCTGAGCCGCTGAGCCAACGAGCCCGGCTTGCATATCTCTTATATACCCCAGCAGAGTTACAGGACCTTGAGGATACAGTCTCTTAAGCGCTTTTTTCATTCTTGGTTCCCTACAGCCAAGCTTCATAAGGAGAAGAATGAATTTTAAAAAGAACAAATAAACTGCCTAATTTGCTATTGTTGCAAGTATCAGATCTGGGCTGCAAACATGGGTATATGGGCTGGATGTGGTGGTACATGCCTGTAATCCCAGCACTTTGGGAGGATGAGGTAGGAGGATCCCTTGAGCCCAGGAGTTCGAGACCAGCCTGGGCAACATAACAAGACCCCATCTCCACAAAAAATTTAAAAAAAAATTAGGTTTGCTGTTGTGCCTGTAATCCCAGCTACTCAGAAGGCTGAGATGGGAGGATTGCTTGAGCCAAGAAGTTTGAGGCTACAGTGAGCCATGATTGTGCCACTGCATTCCAACTTGGGCAACAGAGTAAGACCCTGTTTCAAAAAAAAAAAAGGAAGGGAAGGAGGGAGGGAAGAAGCATGAGTACACGAACACTTTTTGTTTCTTTATTTCCTTTAAATTAAATTATGGCGAACTCTGAGCTTCCTTCCACTGGACTGGCTTTCACCGGGACTGCCTCCTCTAGGGTGGGTCAAGGATCTGGGTGGTGCACCGTGCCAGAGCACTGAGCAGACCCCTTCACAGGTCTGTGGGTTCCAACAGAGGCTCCCATGGTCTGGTCTTCTCATAGTCCCAAAGGAGCCAGCAATGGATGAGTATTGGGTAGGAAATCTGGTGACATAGAGAGACCCTGAGTCTAGAGTTCTACCATACCATCTACAGGTACCACAGCAGCACCCAGGATACTGCTGTAAACCCCATGCATGTTCCCTACACTCCCAGTCTCACCCAACTCAGTTTTTCTCCAAACTGTAGACCCTCTTCCCTTTCTTCCTTTCTTTTCTTTTCTTTTTTTTTGAACTGGAGTCTCACTCTGTTGCCCAGGCTAGAAAGCAGTGGCATGCTCACAGCCACAGCAGCCTCCATCTGCTGGCTTCAGGTGATCCTTCTGCTTCAGCCTTCCAAGTAGCTGGAACTACAGGCATGTGCCACCATGCCCAGATAATTTTTTAATTTATTGTAGAGACAAGGTTTTGACATGTTGCCCAGACTGGTCTCGAACCCATGGGCTCAGGCAATCCTCTAGCCCCTTACTTTCTTACGATGAATCAACCAACTTCTCTCATCCCATCGTTACCTCTTGCTTCCTGCCTTCAACAGCTTTTCAGGCTCTTGCTTTCTATCTCCTTCCTCTAGGGCTGCATCATTATTTTTTCTATGAATTTAGGCTTTAACAGAAGACAGGAGGCACCAGAGACTTGTGACAGCTTCTGTTTCTGTCCTCCAAAAGTCCCCGAGGCAGAGAAATGCTAAGGGTTCCTCTGGTTGCTTGGAATGGTAAGAGACGGGGAAACCACAGAGAAGAAGCAAACTGGAATCTCAGGGAGGTACGTGGGTGGGCCAGTCAGGAGATACTTCTTACTGGAGGGGAGGAATTCCGGAATAAGGAATTCAGTGGTTCAGAGCAGCGTCCTGGGCTTACAAATCCACAACACTGTCAAGACTATGCCCATCTATCCCTTTTCTCTTTTTCACTTCTCTCACCTCCTATTATTAACTAGAACACCCTACTTGTGAATCACACACCCCAGAGGCTGAAAGAGATGCACATGCAACTCTAGGCTAAGAAGGAAAAGAAAATGATGAGACCCACTAGAAATGGCTAAGATGGAAAATAGATAAGAACAGTTCTACGTAAGCTGATCTCTGGGCACAGGAATTTCCTAATTGCCAACTTGGCAAAGGCAGACTAGACCCTAAGACCTGTAATTAATGGGGAAATGGCTACCTGATGGGAATTCTGTAAAGCATGAATCATTTGGGAAGTTTAATAATGCTCTTACCAGTAAAAACCACCTTAATCCTTCAGTAATTACTGCTGCCCAGATAACTGACAACTGCAGGTATTCTTATCTCTACTTTAGTTATTAGCATCCCATTCTCTAATAAGAGAACTGATAAGCATAAAAGACATTGCAAGTTTCAGCCCTGGTCCTCCTCTTAGTTTTCTATTCTTCAGACTAACTACCTCTAGCTTCTCCAATTACACCTTATGTTATATCCTTTTGAGTCTCTTCTCAATCTTGGCAGCACTGCTCTGGTTTGCCATATTCCCTTTAGAATCAGGGTACCTGGACTGAACACCAAATTCCAGAATAGATAAAAGGTGATCACTTCTCTCATCAGTGAAACTCTCCCTTTACAAACCTACTGTACATGTGTGGGCATGCAACATATGTACACGCTCCACTGTGGATTGTATGTGTGGGCATACCGCATATGTATATGCTCTACAGTGCACTATATATGTGTGGGCGTGCAACATACATACACGCTCCACCGTGCCCCGCAAATGGTAGACACCCTTTGTACATGGAAGCAATTAGCTAGCAGGGCAAGAGCATGCCTGACATTTTGGTATAGCTAACATCCTTCATACTCAAAGGACTTTTTTTTTTTGCACATGCTCTAACTAAACACTGTTCTTCTTCCTACTTCAGATCATTGTTCAGATTAAAAAAGAAGTTTTGACATATGAATTGTTTTCAGACAAGGAGAAAAATTCACATTTACTTTCTTTCTCTTCCACATCTGCATGACAGAGACACGTGTATCCAAGTGTGCGTGAAATCCTCATAGACCTGACAAGTGAAGCCCCAGCGCATGAACTGTGGTCATATTTAATACCCATCACTTTCCCAAGTCATTAGTCAAGTCTTATGAGAGTTAGGATGTCAGGAATACGGTTTCTGTTCAGGAGTCTCACAATAAGTAACCTCTTATTGCCTTAGTATCAGCATTCCCAAAGTTAAGATATGTAACATTCATTTGAAACTAGAACTGGACTAGAAAGAGATCTAATCTCTCCTTCACGATTTGGAAGATCCTGCAGTATCTTCTGCAATTAACCACTTCCTGTGCTCAGAGTTGTGTGTAATTAGAACTGCTCTTGCCTGGTTTCCTCCTGTGTTTCAGCATAATCTTTACAGACTGTAATTATGGGGCTTTGCCCAAGTGGGAGAGTACTAGCACCCAGAAAAAGGGAAGGGGAAGGATAGGAGGCAGAGAAACGGGGGAGAGTTATCTAGTCACCTGTGAGCGGCACCTCCTTCCTTCACTTGAGTGACAACGATAGCGTGAGGTGAGCGCTTTGATCCTCGGCCTCCACTAACCTGAATTCCCAGCCCATCCGATTCTTTGAGCAGCTCCATCTTCCATATCCGGCCAGCTTCCTCCTTAGAAGAAAAAGCGAGCACACCGTGAAGGATGTTGACAGACACATGGCATTGACAAAGGAGAGCGGAGCTGTCACATCCGGGCAAATATCCATCACTTGTCAGCAGACAAAATGGATCATAATGGAAGGATAAAATGCTGTGCACTGGACCAAAGTCTCTGGCTAGCAGTGCTGTCCAATGGCACTTGCTGTGATCACAGACATGTTCGACACCTGTGACATCCAATATGGAGCCACCTGCCACAGGTGGCTGTTGAGTGCTTGAAATTTGGCTAGTGGCAACTGAGGAACCCAGTTTTTAATTTTATCGAATTTTGATTAAGTTTAAATAGCCACCTGTGGTAAATGACTATGATATTGGGCAGCACAGCAAATGTGATCATCGGATTTCCTGACTAGGACCCTGTTAAGTGAAGCTGCTTCTACCTGAAAACCAGAGGCCACTGTGTGTGTAAATACAGGCTATGCCTGGGTTCCTTTAACTTTTGCACATCTACTAATTAGTACAGGAACACAGAGCTCAGGTCTTGGTGCTAGGAAACTTCAGTTTGTTCGAGCCCCACTCTGCCATGTAAAACTTATCGATGTCACCTAATACCTAAAAAATTCTCAGTTTCCTTGTCTCTAAAGTGGGAATAATTATTAATTCTTCCTGGTTTGTTGTTATGATTAAATGAGATATTTGTGAAAACAGGTAGCAGTACAATACCTGATAACAAATAATAAGTATTGACAGTAACCATATCTTACTTATTATACCCATATATGCATATGTTATGTTAAAAACATATTGAATTGAACATCAAACTTCCTTAAGCCTATAAATGAGATCTTTGGTAGGAAAAACCAAAACAGAAAATTAATTGATGAATCTGACAATGACTGCTACAGACATTGGTCTTTATATTCTTTAAATAAATTTAAAAATGCTTCAAGACTTATTTAAAAAAAATCTATCCTAATAAAAAAAAGAACACATGTCTTTAAAGCCATCTGATTGCTGGTAACCTTTCTCTTTTGGTTCATCTTCCATTTGTCTCCTTATTTTACTTCAAGGACACAAACATATGCTCACTGCAAAATTATTGACCTCCTTCAGATACTTAACTGTTCAGAGAAATAAAAGCAAAAACTTCCAATGTGATTTATTTGGGGGTATTACTATAGGCTCACCCCTGTAGTTCTTTTCAGCTCTAGATATATGGGCATGAGTCACAATACATTCCTCAACATATAATACAAAAGCCATCTGCTTTTAACAACCACCACGAAAGTCCAACGGAACCATTAAGGTTCAATACAGACGAAGTCATCATCCCTCTAGAAATAGGCAACCTGCCCATTCCAGCTGCTAGCAAAGGAGAAAGAATGTGAAGCATTTCGGAAATCTGAAATACACACTGTCAGAAACTAAAATGAAACTTTATGCAATAGTAAAAAAACCAGATGCTGAAAGTCACTGATGTGCAGCAATAGGAATGTCTGGGGAAATTATTACCAGAGACCTGTTGGGTCCTACACTTTTTCTGGTACAGCACTGCTCGGTGGGGCTTCATTTATTCAGCAACATGCAGTGGTGCCAACTGTTTCTCCATTCGCTGACCACAGACAAATGAAGCCTGTCTGGCCAAATGTAACTTCAGAAGTCATTGGCTTACCACAGTAGTTCACGAACTTGTCAACAATCCCTATTTCATCCAATCATCTCACTTTGGACGCCACGGTTTTTGGTTTGTTGCCTCTGACCTCTGGAACACCTTTCTCCTCCCCATTCAGAAGCATCCTCCCTGGCCTTCAAAGTCTCTCATTGCTCCACTACTTCCAGAAAGTCATCCTTGGGAATCAGTGCAACCGCCAAGATGGGCAACTTTCAACACTTCCAATACATGAGACTCTACAGCCGAGCAGATGCCACCATGAAGAACAAATTCAGGGACTGCTGACTGGATACTGTCCTGGCTTGCTGGGCCTCCCATGCTACCATATGGGACAGCCCTGTGGCTGCCTCCCTGAATCTCACAGCCAGCTGAGGCCAGGACAGTGGCTTGTTTTTTTCTATGGAAGATATACCGTGGCTTCTGGGGTTTAGAAGATGAGGGACAGCGTTCTTCTCTCCCCCAGTATAGAAAAAGTTGTGGATCTCTTTCCCAAGAGAAACAGGGACCATCATTAGAGTCCAGAAATTAGAAAATCCATTTGGATTTAACACAAATTGATAAAATCTTACCCACCAAATTAACTGGTGACACCATCATACTTTCTCCCCTTTACTCTCCTCTTTTGTTAAACAGAACATGAAAGTATGGTTAGCAGAGAGTATGACAGTACTGGATTAATTCCTTTCTTATTTTAAAAATGCTTTTAGAAGTAGGACTTGTGACAAGAAACCGGCAAAGCTATGATCACAGGGATAGAATAGTGACCTCAATACATACTCTCACAGAAGAAGAATGAAAGACAATTTTCATCAAGAGCATATATGTCCCACTCTACATACCTTCCCCCTATCCAGTACACACACACACATTAATTAAAAACAAACAAAAACACAAAACAGGTATCCAATAAAAACGGCATCAGAAGTTAGAAATACCGAATCTATAATATAGCCCTCAACACCATCAGTCAACAAACAGATTTTCTTTTTCACTTTTATCCAGTAACATGATTTCACAATTGAAAGTAGGAATGATAAGGGGGACGTGTTCAAAGAAATGAATGCAAGTTCCTTACTTTGGAATTTCTGACCATTTAATGAAGGAGTTCAGAGGATTATAAAGGAAGACATGAGTAGCAAGAGGCAAATGTGATCAGTCTTAATTGTACAACTGTCAGTATTAAATTTAGTTGCCTCTAGCAAAAGCAATGCTCAGTAAAAAATAAAATCAGTGTCTGATGCTTAGAAGGCTAAAGCTGGTAGTGGTCTCAAACCAAAGGCCAACTTAAATATAGCGCGCGCTCTCTCTCTCTCTCTCTCTCTATATATATATATATATGTTTATTTATTATTATTATTTTTTGAGTTGGAGTTTCATTCTGTTGCCCAGTGCAGTGGCACACTCACCGCCCCCCCAGTGTTAACCTGCTATGCTCTGGCGATCCTTCCGCCTCAGTCTTCCAAGTAACCAGAACTACAGGTGTGCGCTACCACGCCTGGCTAATTTTTTTTCTTTTAATTGTAGAGATGAGGTCTTGCCAAGTTACCTGGGCTGGTCTCGAATCTGCAGGCTCAGGCAATCCACTTGCCTCAGACTCTCAAAGTGCTGAGAATATAGGCTGAGTCACTGAGCCTGGCCTAAATATAATAATATTAAGGATATCTCCAACTGTCTCCTTATAATTCCACTTGGACATCTAATACATACTTCAGCACAGTTAAAATTGGACTCTTCCCTGCTCCCATGTCTGGCTTTCCCATCTCAGTGGGAACAGCACTGTCATCTACTCAAGCCAAAGTTGATACACAAGCAACAGCCCATGCGTTACCTTTGATTCTTCCAATTTCACCTCCCACATCTGAACTATGAGCAAGATCTGTAGACTCAACTCCAAAATAGATCCCACTTATATCAACTTCTGCTCATCTGCCCTCTATTCCACCCTTGTCTAGGTCACCAGCATCTTTAGCTTGGGTGACCACAACAGCTTCCAATCTGGCCTCCCGTCTTATTTCTTACCTCCTATAATCCATTATTCTTCACTGAACATACAGGGTGAGTGTTTAAGAACACTGTAATGATGCATTCAGTTTAAGCCCTCCAACAGCTCCCCATTGGACTGAGAATAAAGTCCAAGCTCCGTGATGGCACACATGAATCTCTGTAATCCAGCCTTGCCCACACCAGCAGAATCTCCTAGTGCTTGGCCTCTTTGCTCCCGGAACAATCTATCATGCCTGTCTGAGGGCAGCTGCCTTTGCTGGATCTTTCCTGGGAATATTCTATCCCCAGACTTTACAGGGCTGCCCTTTCCTGACACTCAGTCCTCAGCTCAAACATTGCCTCTTTCCCAAGGTCTTTCTCCCCTGACACCCAATATTAACCAGCTCCTCACCCGTGACACTGCCCAGCTAGCTTTCACGTCACCGTTTTATTTCATTTATAGTACTTGTCACCATCTAACACTGTGATTTGCTTATTGTGATTTGCTTAATTATATTTTATTGTGATTTGCTTTATTACTGATTTCCTTAATTATTGTATTTTGCTTGATTAGTGTTTGTGGTCCCTTATAAGCCATAAATGCCAGGGGACAGGAACCTTGTCTATCTCGTTTACCAACCTGTCTACTAGCAACATGAACAGTGCCTAGCACACAATAACGGTATCCCATAAATATCCCTGAATTAACAAACGCAGGATGTTTATCCCCTGATCTTATGGTCCTTTGACAGTCATTGAGACTGATGTTAAGAGGTTCACCCAGATGGGAGACCTGCGAGGCTGCCAATCTTCAACGTGTGAACTCCGTTCCAGTGGTAGAGACTGGGTTCTGAAACCAACCCTGTCTAGACAGATGGTTTGGGCATTCATTTCCTTTTACATTGGTTTAAAGGGCAAAGAAATTTTGTCAGCCTATTGAGAAACAGCCAAACCATGAAAAATGGGATGCTATGGACTTCTGTACTAATGTTGTCGGAGTGTTCTCCGTTCCTATAAACTGTCAATTACTGTGTGAGTTCACACATGCATCTCTTCACTGAAGCCAACAAAGGGGATTTATTTACCAAAACAGGAGCGGTACATTAAAGGGAGCTGTCTCACAGCATTTAAATGACCTCATTTCTGCTGGAACCAAAAATAAAACTACAACAGCATCTTTGCCCCAAATGTGAGAAGATACACAATCCAACTAGAATTTCACAGCAGTAAACGCTCTCTGGCTCTAGTTTTAAGCCTTTTCTGAGACTGTTTGCTTATCCCTTCTTAAATAGAATGATCAATACAAAAATGAATCATAACATCAGAGTTGAAAGTCCCTTCGTCATCAGCGAAACATTGTTTATAGCTGAGAAAACAGAAGCCGAGAGAAAGGCCGCAGCAGTCTGAAGGTTGCAGGGCTGGAACCTCGTGTCCCAACTCACAGGCTTGGTGCTCTTGGGTTTCTTCATTTATTAATATTTATTAATATCTACGAACATCTACAGGTGTAGGACACTTAGCTAGGACTGATGACAGAAAGACAAAAAAGTTCCCGTTTTTAAAGTTAACTGAGGCCATGACAAGTCAAATGGTAGTTGAAATACGAGAGGTTTGGGTATCAGTGAAGACAAGCAGGGGGTCCTGCAGGACCCCAGAGAGGAGATATCTAACAAAGGAGCAGTGGCAGAAATGTCACATAGGCCTCCCAGAGGAGAGTGTCTTGGTGCTTAGTCCCCTAGGAGAGGTCGAAGCTAAGCTATGCAGGAGAGGGGAGAAGAAACTGGGGAATGAGAGTAGCTTCTGTGGAGGCTCAGAGGCAAGAGTGAACATGGCCTTTGAGAAAATCTGCAGAGGATTCAACCCAAATCAGAGAGGAAGCAAGCAGTGAGAACCTGGATCTCTTAGGTAGCATCCTGGACCTCTTGGGTAGCATCCAGACGAGAGCTGGTTACCAGAAAGACCAAGCTATGAGAAGCCTGGAAACTTCATTCCCATCCCTATCCTCCAAGGATGGAAGTAGCTGGAGTTTGAATGAACATCCCACGAGGCCTGCAGGATAAAACCATCATCCAGCCTGTGGATGCATTCCCATGCAAGTAGGGTGACACATTCCCCAACTCCTTGGGGATAGAAGCTCTTGTGCTAGGTACCCTTCTGGGCCTCGTACCTCTTCATCTGGCTGTTCATTTGTATTCTTTATTATATAATAAACGGCAAAGTTAAAAATGAAAAGCAGTTAGAGACCGAGGCAAAAAGTTATGCAAGGATCAGATCATCAATGGCCTTGAATGATACGCCAAGGTGTAAAGGTATTACTCTGAAGGCAGAGTGGACCCACGGAAAGGGTTTAAGCTACAGTGTGTGTGTGTGTGTGTGTGCGCGCGCATGAGCATGGTATGCATGTATGTGTGCGTGAGTGATGAGATTTGCTTTTAGAAATGTCCCTTAGGTTGCAGCAGGGACAGGGGATGAATGGGGTGGGAGTGAGGGCAGTTAGACAGGTAGGGAAGTACTATGTCAGCCTGACTCTAACCTGCAGTTGTGGGAGTGGGGAAGGGAGAGGTGGATGGAGCCTTAAGACCTCAAAGGGAGCTAGAGGTGACAGGACTTGGTGATCGACTAGATGTGGTGTAAGGGAGAGGACTGTGTGTCAGTTGACTCCAGGATGAGTCAAACTGTCCCAGCGTGCCCAGGATGGAGGATTTTCAGTGAGAAATCAGTGGAAGTCCTGGACAAACCAAAATGGTTGGACATTCCAGGTAAATCTCATGAAACTCCTGGCTTGGGTAGCTTTATGGATGGTGAGACCTGGAACACTGGAGTAGGTTTGGTGGTACACTGAGTTTTTTAGGCATGATATTAAATATCCAAGATGGAGACATCCTGCAGGCAGTTAGTATTAAGCTCAGGGGCTCAAGAGAGAGGTGAAGGCTCAGGCATGGTCTTAGGAGATGTTACCACGCAGGATAATGTAAGTTCACCCAGTAACCATGGGAGCTTGTTAGAGGAGGATTGTCCTCATGCTGCCTCTCATTGATGCAAACACCAGGGGCCACCTGTGAGATTTCCTGCGTGTGTTCGCCTTCTGAGTGTTCCATTCTTCCCTGCAGATTCAGATCTGGGGCAGTCTTCATTAGGTCTGTGATGAACCACTTACGGAAAAGGCATAGGGAAAAGGTCTGGTACTGTAAGGGTAGATTATGGTTACTAGGGTAACCACAAATGTACCCACAGAAATACCTTCATCAGTTGTGAATGCACTCACCCACCTGGCCAATAGTAGGACTTTTTTTTTTCCCTTTATTATGCGACTACATTTGGTTGTATTCATTTTCAACACGCAGCATTACAAAAATACATATAATATCTATGCAGACTTGCAAAAATTGTCATCTTGGGTGAGTAAAGATCTTTCCTAGAAAGGTAATGAGGAATTCTAAACTCATGTCTAAAATAGTTTTTCTATGTCCTGGGAAAGTCTTATGTTTTAGAGGATGAATCCAACTTTTGCATTTTAAAAAATTAAGCTGCTTGTATACGTATCAGTCTATGCTAATATTCTATAGAAATATATGATTTTTTGAAAGAAAAATTTGTTAAAAGTAGGCATGTTTCTTATTGCTCTGTTAAGAGAGAACAGAATAGAAAAAACAGATTGAGGATTTATTTTAATGTATATATTTTCTTAAAATAATAGTCTATGAAAAAGAAGTACCCGACAAACAAAATGATCTGAATGATCATTATAAGCTTTTCCTGAAATTTATGAAGTCTTTGCAGATATATTAAATCATTAATAAAGCAGAAACGGAACAACACTGACATGTTTAATCTCTCATTATTCAAATGGAATGGAATTTTCCCCCCCAAAGGCTTAAGAGGTAAATAGCTAATTTCTGTTTTTCTGGAAATTCCATTTTAGCATAACCTTGGTCTCAACTATCCTGGAGTAAAAATAAAAACCCACTCTAGCCCAAGGATCTAAGCAACCTTGTATGAAGGTCAGTTAGTTCCAATGTGTGTGCCACCAGGATGTGAAGAAAACTGTGAAGCTACTTTTAGTCCACTCTATCAATCCTGGGCAAATGTATGTCATAAATACAATTTTGTGGCTAACAAGGGTGCTAAAATATTCGTGCCTGAGATGTCTAGTCCATTCTGACCTATTAAGACAAAAAGTATGACCCAGGGCCAGTAATCAGAATATGGATTATAAATGGTTACCAAAAAATGGCAAGTCTCCTCTTTCTATCGGCATGTGGCTTTTAAAAAAATGCCCCAAAGGCAGTAAATCATAGTTTCTCACTTTTTCATTTATGTTTTATGGACATTTGACCTGGAGAACAAAGCACAAAGGAATTCTGATATGTGTAAGTCTTCAGATAGACTAATCTAGAAATTCAATTTAAGTTAAGGGAATTTATTATTAATTGAACTTAATTATTACTTTTAATTAAGATGAGTAGAGGATGGTACTTTCTTTAAAACAATTTTTTTTTAATCTTTCAAATTATTCCCACTGTGTCTAGGTCAAATGAAGACCTGTTCTTTGGACTGTATGTAAGATTCAACCTCTCTTGGTGCTTTTACAATTTGGAAAGACAATATATTCTCTACTTTTTTCTTTTTCAACCTTAGTTTTTCTGTATATTTACAATATAATCATTAGGGAAGAAATCATAGTAAGATATTTGTCTCTGATAAGGAACATATTATAATACTTTTATTGCCCTTAATTTGGAGGGGCATCCATTATTATAATCTTTTTGTCCTTAATCCTCTTTGTGGGGGTCCCATACATTTAGTAGAAAATCATTGATAGAGACATTTTCATTTCTCATTTGCTTACACATTACACATTATTTACAAATAATGCCTTCCATGTGTAAGGCTTCTAAGGCTTTATGAAGATCACTCAGCTCTGCAAATGAAGAAACATGATCCCTTGAGAGAGGGGGTTACTTTAATTCTTTTCAACCCATTGTATGGATTGGCTACAATTGCAGAAATATGCTTGAAATAGCCTTACTGAGAATGACATTCACTCCTAGAGGACCATTTCTCAGCGTGCAAAGCCAAACAAGATATTTCCATGCCCATTTTCCATCTTTTCAACTTTCTCTTTCATCCCTAGAACATGTCAACTGAGTCCAAGAAGAATCCAAACTGTACTATCTAGGTCCTAACTTGAGTGCTTAATTTGGAGCTCATCAGAATATTCGCTAAGAGGATTCTTAGAATGAACACATTTACCCTAGAGAAATGTAACTCTCCCAGGAGAGAATACTGGTTATAATGGGAAATATCATTTGAGGCTACAAGCTCACCCATCACTACTCAGAATATACCAAAAGACAAAGCAGATATGGTAAGACCAACCTTGACCATCACAGCTGGATATTACAATATCAGAGATTTCTGTAACTCTTCCAAATGCCCCTGGAATTCACCCACACAATAACATGGTCCCATGAAAATGTCACTGATTTTGAACTGTTATAAATAAAAGCAAATGCCTCCATGTGTGTTGAATTCCCTTCCTGTGGAATACTGAGGCTAGGATGTTTGTGCTGTGAACTGCCATCAGGAATTCTTGGCCTTAACATAGCAATTCCACTGGTGACAGTAGTGATAAATAATTATGCATCTAAGTCCTTGATCTGGGACTCACGTGACTCAAATATTGTCACAGAAGGCTTGAATTTTCCACTTAGGATCACTTGACCAGCTCTTTATTTAAGTAGGATAAAATGACTGGAGTATTTTTTGTTGTTATTTTCTGATCATTTATCTTAATGAATTTGTTGGCTTCTCAATTGCAAGGTCATCTTAGATATATTTTTTAAAACCTTAAAAGCAACCTTAAACAATATTTCTTTAAACTTTCAGGTTCCACCATGAAACCAAACCTTACCCGTGCCAGGCAGTCACTCGACTGGAAGTCTGTCTTCCCAGCTTTTGAGAAGCGGCGTTTGTCATTATTTGTGGTCAGAGGAGCATCTGTCTTTGGAAGTCTGTGCTCTGTCCCTCTGTCCACTTCTGACTTCTCTAGATGGGGTCCAGCCACCTCCTTGAGAGAATCTAGGCCATTTTCTAGCTGAAAGCCTGGCCCATTTCCAAGCTCAGGGTCAGTGCCATTCTCTGGCTCAGCACTGGGGTCACTGGCCACCTCACAGCCAGTGCTGCCCTTGGATTCTTCGGTGGCCTTGTTGGCAGGAGGCTTGGAGATGACCCCAAACTTTCTGGTTCTTTTCCCCTTTTTTGCAGTTCGGTCACCCAACTCCAAAGTAGGTGTTTCTCCTGGTTCAGAGCTGTTGCTACTGTTACCATTATAAGTAGAAGGAGATTTGCGCTTAAAGCGACGCAGCATGATCAGGTAGATGAAGCCGCCATTCCAGCACTGCTCAGCCAGGTAACTGTAACAGACAGAGAGTGACTGGTTAGAACCTCACACACCCTTCCAGACTGGCACAGTGGATGGAGGCGTTCAAGGGCCCACGGGACCCAGGGGACTAAGAGCACCATCGATGGACTGAGGAATTAAGCTTCCTAAGAGGCCCAAATCAATTCATTCTTTTCACCTGCACCATTACTGATGCTAAAAATAACACCCAAACTCCCTAAACAAAAACCCTATGAACTCGAAATTACTAATTGAATGGTTGGGCTCGATGGCTCAGTGTGTAATCTCAGCACTTTGGGAGGCCGAGGCGAGTGGATTGCTTGAGCCCACGGGTTTGAGACCCACCCGGGCAATTTGCCGAGACCTCATCTCTGCAATAAATGAAAAACTTAGCCGGGTGTGGTAGTGCACGCCTATAGTTCCAGCTACTTAGAAGGCTGAGGCAGAAGCAGGTCGATGCTGGGGTGGCCTTGAGTATGCCACTGCACTCCAGGCTGGGCAACAGAGTGAGACTCCAACTCAAAAAAAAAAAAAAAAGAAATGACTAATTTAAGTACTATAAGATTAGGAGTTTGAGGATTTTTCTAGGAACAGAGCTAATGCTAACATATCATTCAAAAATAAAATTATTTTCTAATCCTTCAACAATTTCTTGCATCAGAATTGCTGGACTCAGCTGGGCGTGGTGGCTCACACTTGCAATCCTAGCACTTTAGGAGGCTGAAGTGAGAGGATTGCTTGAGGCCAGGAGTTTGAGACCAAGCTAAGCAACTTAGCAAGATCTCACTTTTACCAAACAAACAAACAAAAAAAAGGTAGCTGAGCATAGCAGCATGCACCTTTGGTCCCATCTACTCAGGAGGCTGAGGTGGAAGGATCACCTGAGCCCAGGAGGTCAAGGCTGTGGTGAGTCAGGATGAAACCACTGCACTCCAGCCTGTGTGACAAAGTGAGACTCCAACTCAAAAAAATAAAATAAAATAAAATAAAATGTAACTGACTAAGTAGGCGCTGGCAACTGCATGCTGCATTGAATGAGTGTCAGGCTCACTTCTTGGTGATAGTCCTGGCTTTGGCTGTTCATAGCACATAGGGATTGCCCTTCCAGTCTGAGCATCACAGTAAGATGGGCACTGACAAAGTGGAACACACATAGACAAGGGGCGGCCAGGACCAAGGGTTGTTGGAAACTGTCAACCACGAACAGTTGGAGGAATAAGGTATGCCCAGCACAGAGAAGACCAGGGTCAGGGCCAGTGGCTTTTTCATACATTTGAGGGCTGGCAAGTATTTAGAAGCAGGAAAAAATAGCAAGGAGATCATGTAGGCTGAGCACGGTAACTCACCCTTATAATCCCAGCACTTTGGGAGGCCAAGGCAGGAGGGATTCTTGAGGCCAAGAGTTTCAGACCAGCCTGGGCAACAAAGCAAGACCCATCTCTACAGAAAATAAAAAAATCAGCCAGGAGTGGTGACATGCAGCTATAGTCCTAGCAAAATTAAAAAATAAAATAAATTTAAAAAAGTAAAAAAAATAAGGGGATTCTGCATGTGAAGCATGGCACATGATAATGGATCCAGAGTTTTTCTTTTTTGAGTTGGAGTCTGACTCTGTTGCCCAGACTGGAGTACAGTGACATACTCATGGCCATTGCAGCCTTGACCTGCTGGGTTCAGGTGATCCTTCTACCTCAGCCTTCCAAGTAGCTGGAACTACAGGCACATGCCACCTCACCTGGCTATTTTTTGTTTTATTGTAGAGATGAGGTCTCACCAAGTTGCCCAGGCTGGTCTTGAACCTGCAGGTTCAGGTAATCTTCTCACCTACACCTCCCAAAGTGTTAGGATTATAGGCGTAAGCCACCGTGCCCAGCATTTGGTTCCAGATCTTAAAGAATAACGTGAAAGGAGACCATCCAATGAAATGAGTAATAAGTGGCATTCAGGGCCAGATCATCAAAATGTAGCAAATAAAACACTTACTGAAAGTCAGGGAAACAGCCTGGGCAGGACCTTCTTCTACCCATGCTACCCAAGATCAAGAAGCACAACTCCCTGATGAATCCAGGGAAATGCCTTCGCCAACTGGGTATCTTGCCACATTCTACACATCGCTGGTTTCCAAGCAAAGGGCTTTGACAACAAAATCCTTCATAAATCCACAAATCAGACCCGTCTTGGGTCTTCATATGCCCACAGAGAGAAAGCCTGGGGCTACATGCAAAGCAGCCTCTATAGAAATGAGGACTGCAGGGAAATAGACATTAAGATGCCCTCCATGATCTTGACACCAGGGAAGCCAGACTTGAGCACTGGGGTAGTCACTATGTGGGAAGGATGCCAGGTCATAAAAGTCCTCTCATTTCCTAATGAGCTTTCACTTAGGTCATAGGCAAGGAAAAGGAGAAGGAGAGGTGACCAGCTATGTTTGAAATGCACTAAATTATGGCCCAAAGGCATTTATTCCCCCATTCCCCAATGGTCAGGTTAATATAATGACCGTGACTTTTCAACTAAAGAAGAGAATAATTCTGAATTTTTGCCATGGAGTAAAGTGGGCAAAAGAAAAGGGTACTCAAACATCAACAAAACTTAATAAAAATGGTTTTTGATCCTGGGCTATATACCATGATAGTGAATTTACATACACAAAAACAGGGACATAAAAGATGCCTACAGAGCCCAGGTTGTTCTGGAAAATAGAGAGGGATGAGGAGGCATGAAGACCATACAATGCGGTCTAGGAAATGGACATTAAACCTGGCTGTCAGTACAATTTTTCTACAATGTCTAGATTTCATTTCTTTATATTGTATATATTTTTTCCAAACTGGAAAAATTCATGTAAAGGTATATAGTCCTACGAATAGGTAGCCAAGCTGTAGGGTTGTCTTTGAGGAAACCACTGCTAATTACAGGTGGCTTATGCTTGTAATGCCAGCACTTTGGGAGGCCGAGGTGGGTGGATGGCTTAAGCCCAGGAGTCCAAAACCAGCCTGGCCAACATAGTACAATCTTGTCACTAAAAAAATTTTTTAAAAATTAGCTGAGTGTGGTGGCACACGCCTGCTGCTCCAGATAATCAGGAGGCTGAGGTAGAAGAATTGTCTAAGCCTGGGTGGTCAATGCTGCAATGAGCTATGATTGTCATGATCATGCCACTGCACTCCAGCTTGTGTGACAGAGTGAGACCCTGACAAAAACAACAACAAAATCCAGATGCTCAGATGTTATGGAAAACCCCACAGGATAGTAAAAACAGTACCAGACTGACACCCAAATCCACATTTTGGCTTTGGTCCAACCATGTAAAACAACAATTACACAAATTTCCATCAACTGATGAATGAATAAGCAAATTATGGTAGATCCATATAATAGGGTATTATTTGACAATTAAAAAGAAAGAATTGGGAAGCTGAGGTGAGTGGATTGCCTGAGCCCGCGGGTTCGAGACCCGCCTGGGCAGG